TCCCCCACACCCCTACTCACCCTTCCACCCACGGTGTGCAGCGTCTCGGGATCAACTCGCCGCATCAGACTGGTCTCGGTCATGGCGAAGAGCTGGTCGCTGAAGTAACACATGCTGACGGAGCAGTTGTCGGACACGTCTGGGCTGTCGAGCTGAAGTCCGCTGAACTTGCTCATGAACCTGGGGGCGGTGGGGAAGGTCAAGGGGGTGTGGGGGTGTGGGGATGAACTGTGGTTGTTTTTGTTCTTGTTTTTGCTTTTGTTATTTTTTTATTATTATAGTTATAGTTATTGTTATTATTGTTATTACTATTATTATTATCATCACTATCATTATCATCATCATCATTATTATTATCATTACTATCATTATCATCATCATCATTATTATTATCATTACTACTATTATCATTATTATTATTATCATTACCATTATTATTATCATCACTATCATTATCATTATCATTATCATTATTATTATGATTATGATTATTATTATCATTAATGTCACTATTACTATTACTACTACAACCACCATTATCTTTTTACGATGAAGTTTGTGTTTGTGAATGACTGGAATTATATTTCTAATTGATTATCCTTCGTCCGTAATTGTATATTTTATAACCATGGATCTTATGAATCGATAAGTGGAAATAGAATACTTGCAATAACTATAGTATAATAAATAGATATTCTATATAATCTATTGTGATTAATGTGTTTTCATTTCCACAAAAATAAAGCCGATTACTTAATAGAATATGAACGTTGAAAGTTTCGATCGCATTATATTTTATGTTCGTAAGAGGGGACAATATTTTCAATTTTAAAGTCTAAAAAATAAATAACATTTTAAATTCTTGTATCATTATAGACTTCATACTTTTATCACCTTTGGCTGCCTCCTCCCTCCCTCCTTCCACCCACCCACCCCTCCTTCCCTCCTCTCCCTCCACCCACCCCTCCCTCCTTCCCTCCCATCCTACACCCTCCCTCCCTCCTTCCATCTACCCCAACCACACTTCCCTCCACCCACCCTACCCCACCCTTCAATCCCTCCCTCCCTCCCACTCTCCCACCCAACCCTCCCTCCCTCCACCCACCCCACACTTCCCTCGCTCCCTCCCTCCTCCCCACTCATCCCACACCCTCCCCCCTAACCCACCTCTGCAGGATGGTCTTGCAAGGGTCGGGATACGCCCTCGTCCCGAACTCATCGATGACGATCCTGTTGGCCGCCGTGTTCTTCTTGTAGGTGTCGCTCTCCAGGATGCGGGACCTGTAGAAGGCCTCTCCGCCCTGAGGGGAAGGAGGAGGACGAGTTAGGAGGAGGAGGAAGAGGGAGGACGGTGGAGAAGGAGGAAACGTGGAGGACGTTTTAGGCTTTGGGAAGAAGAAGGAGGAGAAGAGGAGGAAATAGATGATGATGGTGATGATGAAGAAGGGGATGGAGGAGGAGGTAGAGGACGAAAAAGACGATGAGAAAGAAGAAGAAGAAGAAAAAGAAGATGAGGAAGAGGAAGATTGAGGATGAAGATGAAGAAGAAAGGGGAGGAAGAAGGGGAAGAGAGGGAGGGAGAAAAAGAAGAAAAAGAGGAAGAGAAAGATTGAAGATGAAGATGATGAAAAAGGAGGAAGAGGAGTAGGAAGAGGAAGAAGAAGAAAAAGAAGAAGAGAAAAAACGAAGAATGATCGTTTTTTTTCAGTTTATTATTATTATTATTTTAGATTCAAAATTGAGGTATTTGGACATATCGTTTAATTGTGTCCTAATCATCTTCTTTCTCTATTACTGAATGTGAATAAACACATGTGTATATATATAGATAATAGACAGACAGACAGAGAGATAGAGAGCTAGATATATAGAGGGAGGGAGAGAGAGAGAAAGGGAGAGAGAGACAGACAGACAGACAGACAGACAGACAGACAGACAGACAGAGAGATAGAGATAGATAGACACATACACACACACACTCGTCTTTCTTGCGAGGTAGCAGCCTGGCTCCTCCCCTCAAAATGTATTGGTTGTATCCCCGAGGTTTCCCCCATGAAACTATAGGTGTTTTACCGTAGACTTAATTCCCTGAGACCTTTGCAATCATATAATGTGCGAAGCTAGTTGCAATACACGGGGTACAGAAAAAGAGCTTACGTTACAAATGAAAGGATCTAACGGTATGTGTATGAATGTATGTATGTATGTGTGTATGTGTGTGTGTGTATGTGCTTGTGTGTGTATGTGTGTGTGAGTGTGAGTGTGTTTGTGTGTGTGTGTGTGTGTGTGTGTGTGTGTGTGTGTGTGTGTGTGTGTGTATGTAGACACACACACACACACACACACACACACACACATATATATATATATATATATATATATATATATATATATATATATATATATATATATATATATATATACAAATATGTATATATATATATATATATATATATATATATATATATATATATATATATATATATATATTATATATATATATATATATAAACACACACACACACACATATATACATCCTTGTCCTTGTTCCCCCCTCCTGAGATCCCAAAGGCCTTCGTCACTTGTCTCAAGGAGAAGGCCCAGAAGAGGCCCAGAAGAGGCTTTGATTGGGGAGCCTAATCATTGTTATTACATTCTTAGAATAAGACGGAGATATTGCATCATATATTCAGGATTAGTAGGATTAATTCAGGGAATCCCTCTTTGATATATCTTAATAGAGTACACCTTTGATGGAGAAAAATGGTGTCTTGATTCATTTACTGTGTGTGTGTGTGTATGTGTATGTGTTTGTGTGTGTGTGTGTGTGTGTGTGTGTGTGTGTGTGTGTGTGTGTGTGTGTGTGTGTGTGTGTGTGTGTGTGTGTGTGTGTGTGTCTGTGTCTGTGTCTGTGTCTGTGTCTGTGTCTGTGTCTGTGTGTCTGTGTGTCTGTGTGTCTGTGTGTCTGTATGTCTGTGTGTGTCTGTGTGTCTCTGTTTGCCTGCCTGCCTGCCTGCCTGCATTGCAATTAGGAGCTGTATATGGTCATACGATCAGGGATCTTCCAAACACATTGCTTGTACATTGTGACGGTTCAGTTCAGAAACGCGGAAGAGCAGGTTGATGGATACTCGTCCGCGAATTCACAGATGGTAATACAGGTGAATTAAATATTGGACTCCGACTGAGTAACTCTGTGTTATCCTTATTATAGTCATTATTATTATCTGTATCATTATTATTATCACTCATTATACAATGAGAGATTCAGAAATGCTGAAATACATGATGCTACTTTACAGATAGAATGGATGTGAAGTAATCACAAAGTAGAGGAAATATTGAAACACTATAGGAAGTTCGCTCCTAGGTTAGGAATATACATTTTGTAAGATTCATCTCTGTATTGTTTTTTTTCTTTCTTTTTTACTGGATTGTTGTGAACCCTTACGGGGACATAACAAGAATGACGTGGAGATGACATATGTCACTTCATTCCTTTGAGATGTAATCTATCACTTCAATAAACGTTTCAAATCTCTCTCTCTCTCTCTCTCTCTCTCTCTCTCTCTCTCTCTCTCTCTCTCTCTCTCTCTCTCTCTCTCTCTCTCTCTCTCTCCTCGCCCCCTTCTCTCTCTTCTTCCTATCTCTCTCCTTCTTCCTCCCTCTCTCTCACCTTTCTCTCCATCTCCCTCCTTTCCTCCCTCCCTCCCTCCCTTCCTACCTACCTATCCATCTATCCATCCATCCATCCACTTACCTATCTACCCATCAACTTTACCTCATCCTTACCTTAATGGTGAATTTGTGCAGGACCGCCATGCCGTCGAACAGGTGATTGTACCAAGTGTCGCCGATGTTCAGGACTCCGGGGCCATTTCTGAACAAATTTCCTTCCAGCCATAGTGGGATCTCGCCTGGAAAGAAAAAGGGATGGTGGTGATAGGTGGTGGTGGGCGTGATGGTGGTGGGGGTGAGAATTGGGCTGAGGATGGTGAAGGTTGTGCCGATGGAGATATTGGTGGTGGTGGTGAGGGTGGTGAGGTTGAGGGTGATGGTGGTGTGGGTGGGGGTGGGGGTGGGGGAGGGGGTGGGGGTGAGAGTGAGGGTGAAGGTGGTAGTGGTGGAGATGATGAGGATAATAATGATGATTATGGTGGTGGTTGGGATAATGATGAAGTAACAGTGATAATCATAATGATGATGGTTGCTACGCCCGCCTAAAAGAGGAAATACTGCTCTCGCTCGCGCTTTCCGATTGCATTATATCATCTCAGGAAAATAAATATGGAATTATGGGGTATCCCGATCCACTCTGTTTTGACTTTACCCAATCGCCCCGGATTTATATTCTGGCCCCTGAAGTTTTTTTGTGAATGTTGTTACATGCAGGTGGATCCACATGTGCTCAGCCGGCAAGGAGTCTATCAGTAGCCCTAGTTACCGATCCTGATTTCCCCATTCCTTGAATTGGCGGGAAAATGTGTTTTTCTTTTTAATATAGTTGACATCGATACTGTTATTATTGTTATAGATGTTAAGATAATTAAATTGTTATTAAAATGTCGATAATATTTAAGACAATGAAATAATGCGAAAGACCTTTTACATAAGTCGAGGAAAAGGGTAAACAGGTGAGATAGGTAGGCCTAATAACCGACTTCTTGGTGACTAAGCCCTTGTAAAGGCATCTATGTGTAAATACAATAAATATATATTACATTGGGCATAGCATCTATTCTTGCCATACGTTGCGATTGTGTTAGGTAACGTTGAAAACTAAATTTTATCAAAAAGGAAAACAATAACAATCTAAACATATATAAGCATAAGTGATAAGTGACACATTATTATAAAAAAATAATAATAATTTAAAAATGACGACTTAGCGAATCGGACAATGCCTGGTTTCGTGATGAGTTGCCAGATGTTGTTTTTCAGAGGCTGGACGTAATGCGTTTTTTTTCCATGTCTAACTTTGTGTAATCATCTGGGGGAACACAAAAGATATTCTCTCATATCAAATTAAACATGTAATAGTCATTAGATATCAACAAAGGTTTCGTTATCTCGCAAAATAAGTCTTTTAATATCATGATGCACTTAACAATTCCCTGATCACAAGGAGTAAATAAATTAAGAAAAAATAAACAACTAAGTAAACCAGGTGAATAACAGATAACAGAGGAGTTAAGAGAAAATAGTGAAATTCATAACCCCGGCCTCCCTAACCCAATTGTCGCGGATGGCAAGAATACCGTGCCATACTTACTGTAATAAAAATGTATCCATTGTCTTTCATTTGTATTATTTGTTGTATTTAATGTTATTAACATTTTAATAACAATTTGATAATAACAATATCAATAAGAATAATAACAATGACAATATAATTCAGGAAAACACATTTTCCCGTAAATTCAAGGAATGGGGAAATCAGGATCGGTCACTAAGGCCTACTGATAGACTCCTTGGGGAAAAGCACATGTGGAGCCATCTGTCTGAAACAAAATTCAGAAGAAAAAACTACAGGGGACAGCATATAAACCTTAGTCAGGTGGTTAAAAAGTTGAAAACGTAGAGACAGTAAGAGTTGCATTAATACAACATTTTATTAGTAGCATGACTTTTATGTAAATATAATAAAAAAAACAAAGTTTTAGTGTGTAAAAATGAAGAAAATAGCACCAGACCACACAGAAAGAGAGAGAGAGAGAGAGAGAGAGAGAGAGAGAGAGAGAGAGAGAGAGAGAGAAGAGAGAAGAGAGAGAAAGGGAGAGAGAGTGCACACGCATACACACACACACACACACACACACATATATATATATATATATATATATATATATATATATATATATATATATATATATATATATATATATATATATATATATATATATATATATATATATATATATATATATATATGTATATTCATATATGTGTGTGTGTGTGTGTGTCTGTGTGTGTGCGTGTGCGTGTGTGTGCGTGTGCGCGCGCGTGTGTGTGTATTATATCTATATTTCTTTTCGTAATTATAATGTATAATTATACCAAACGATAGATATGAATAGCTTTGGTCGTACCGACAGCTTTTCTTTTGAATCTCATAAAACCTGACGACGGACGAACACATCAATGCTGAACAAATATATGTTTACCATGAAGTGTCATATATACCCTTCGTGAGAAATGTGTATACGTTTTTTTTCTGCGTGCGATTTGATAGAATATTTCATAATGAAACATGAATCACCACGAAAATTTTAAGAATCCTCAATTTTACGGAAAAAAAATAACCCAGCGAATCATCGTGGCTGTAAAGTGGTTCCTGTTCGTCTATGGGTTAAATGAACAAATGTACAACATAACAAAGATGTGGGTCAATAGAATGCCATTCCACAACGCAATAATAATACCAAAATAAAAGGGGGAAACAGGGAAATAGATAAGCTAATATAGATAAAATATGTGCAACCAGAAAATACTTTAGTCCTGTGTTCATTGTCGACTGTCGAAATAGATCAACGGACGAAATGAACAATGAATTCAATCAGTAGACACATGGATAGCTTAAGAAATAAACAATGAGGGAGTTAACAAATACACAGATATACAAGTAACTTTTTAACAGATGGAAGAGATAGATAAATATAAAGGCTTGTGCTTTTGACCTTTCCCTCATATTTTTTTCTTTCTCTCTCTTTTCTTTTTTCTTTTTTCCTTTTTTCTTTCTTTCTTTTTCACGAGATTATAAATAAAAGACTAAAGAAAACAGACAAAAGTAAGTAAATTAACAGGTAGATGAGTTAGATAATGAATATATCCTAAAAATACCAAGTGCTAGCATACACAATGAAGAAAGATCAGTATAACACAATTAAATAAACGAAACACGTACCAAAACAAAGGTATGGATGAACAAATAACTACAAGCAACTAGATACTATAATTGACATTTGGTCGCAAACAAAAAAGAACTTTAGTCCCGTACTTACTGATAGTCAACAGATAAACAAATGATAGATCAACAGATATGCAGATAAGTAAATAAAAAATAGCCTAAATTCAATAACACCGCCCCCCCCCCACCCCACCCTCAAAACGTGTTTCAAAGTGCGTAACCAAAATTTAATAAAGATTTTAGTCCCGTACTCACCGTCGACCTCGCCCTTGACGGGAGTGGTCGTCGCCTGGTCCATGGAGCGGACGTAGACCTTGTGCGCGTCGTCCATTTTGCTATCCCGCAGATTTTCCACAATATTTTTACATGCCTTGTGCGTTTTGCTGACGTCGATGCCATTGCCCGTATGCGTCGGGACATCCGGAAAGACGTACGAGGACATAATTCGCCTTAATTTAGCCTCCTCCTCAAACGAAAATTAGATCTCTATCCCCCCTCTCAATATTCCGAATTTTCGAAAGATGAATCCCCCAGCATCGAATCCCGCGCGCACTGAAGACTCCTCCACTCGCCAGGATATGCCAGCGTCTCC